TACCTTAAAGTAACCTTTAAGGTTACTGAAAGGTTACTTAAAGTACCTTCAGGAACCATGCCAGAAGGTTTCACACTGTGTTGCAATTATAAAATTTAACAGCCGGTAACAAAAAAAAAAGAAAAAAAGGAGTAAGTGAGAATACTTTATATCTTAGTAGACAAACAGTTACTTGCCCTGGGTAAGTGGCTATTCTATGGCATAGCTTTTTGATCATGACACACATTGGAAAACCATTTGCTAAAACACAATAATTCACTTTTCAGCATTGCTTTGACAGTCCTACAAAAAATATTAGGTGTGTTTACATTTTTTATTACATTTTATGTCACACTCATTTGATAGTCCCAGCCTTAACACAGTACCTGGCACATAGTAGGTGCTAAATGTTTACTAAATGAGTAATGAATATTGTTTTCATCCACTGACCAACTTTATTAAAGATTGGAATTAAAGAAGCAGCTTTCCTCTTTCCCTAAGCTATTCTTCAGGGTAGAAAACAAAAGGAGGCAAGGCGCCTGGGTGGCTCAGATGTTAAGCGTCTGCCTTCGGCTCAGGTCATGGGCCCAGGGTCCTGGGATCGAGCCCTGCATCGGGCTTCCTGCTCAGCAGGGAGTATGCTTCTCCCTCTCCCACTCCCCCTGCTTGTGTTCCTGCTCTTGCTATCTCTCTCTCTCTCTCTGTCAAATAAATAAATAAAACCTTTAAAGCAACAAAACAAAACAAAAGGAGGCATGGGATAAAACTGTATGATTTACTCTCCTCTTTTACCCCCCTTTCAGTATAATGTGATCTTATAATTCATGCCAATTAACTCACAGAAACTGTTGTTACTGCCTAAAGTGATTTCTTCCAAAACCTTAAACATGACTATAGGGCCAAGATGGAGAAATGGGGACTGGATTTACCTTCCTGCATAAAAAAAGTTAAAAGTTAAAATAGGATAAAATATATTAAACAGTGGCTTTGAGACGTGGGAAATCAGGCAGCATGGACAGGGACTCCTGAGAAATGGCAAATGGATGAGGTGAGCCCTATATTGCCCCAGCATACTGTCTGGAGAAAGTTGCCACACCACAGCCTAGGGAATGGGACGCCAGATGGAGTCTGATCATCTTCCAGGGTTGAGCTGATGTGGCTGGTAGGTGAAAGTGGCTAAAACACATGGCAGAGTACCAGAGAGGAGAGCGCTGCCCAGAGAGAAAACCCCTGAGTCCTCAGCTGATGACTGGTCAGTACCTGGAGTGTGGGGAAGAGACCCAAGTCCTGGGAGAGAACCACCCAAAAGGATTAGAGGAAACAATACTCAGAGCACAATTTTTGTGAGCCTGAAGTTTTTCAGTGTGTATATTTCTGAATGACTCTAGAATCTGTTAATGTTTCTCAAACTTGGGAACTCAGACCACCCAAGATTATATTCTCAGACCCAAGTTTGAGCAACATTGCTTTGTGTGGTTAATGATTCTATAGTCAGTAAACCTAAGGTTATTGTCACTGTGTTGGAATCTATCTTAAACAAGCTTTTTTTTTTTTTAAAGACTTCACCTATTTATTTGAGAGAGAGAGAGTGCACGAGTAGGGGGAAGAGCAGAGTGAGAGGGAGAAGCAGACTCCCCACTGAGTGGTGAGCAGGGAGGCCCATGTGGGGCTGACCCCAGGGACCCTGAGACCACAGTCTGAGCCGAAGGCAGTTGCCCAACTGACTGAGCCACCCAGGCGCCCCTTAAAGAAGTTTGATATGTCAAATCAAACAGTATTTATCCAGGACAGAAATGGTTTGTGTTCCTACTTGTGAGAGTGCAGAAATCCTTGTAATTCATGAGACATCAAGTGAAGTACTCATCAAGTGAAGAGTATTGCCTCAGAATAAGACAAAATTAGCCCTAAAGATTGACAAAACTTAAAAGCAAGCCTCAAGAGGATCAAATGATTTATAAGTAACTTAATTGAGGGGTGCCTGTCAGTTGAGCATCTGGCTCTTGGTCTCAGCTCAGGTCATGATCTCAGGGTCATGGTATCAAGCCCCACATCAGGCTCTGCACTGGGTGTGGAGTCCGCTTGGGATTCTTTCTCTCCTGCTCCCTCTGCCCCTCCCCCTACTCCCTCTCTCTCTAAAATAAATAAATAAATCTTAAAAAAAAAAATAAGTAACTTAATTGTGTCCTAGACAAAATTTAAGAATATCTATAGGGATACAAAAATATCCAGTACTCAATAACATAAAATTAACAATGTCTGGCATCCAATAAAAATTTATCAGATATGCAAAGCATCAGGAAAATACCACCAGTAATGAAGAGGAAAAAAAAATCAATTAATTGAAACAGACCCAGGCATGATACAAATGATAGAATTAGTGGAGAAGGATATTAAAAATTTATCGCTAGTTTTCTTAAGTTCAAGAAGGTAGAGGAAAGATTGAACATACTATAATGTACACAATGTTCTGTACCTTTTTCCTTTTTTTAAACTTTATTTTTTTAAGTTTTTTTTTTTTTTTTTGAGAGAGAGAGAGAACACAAGTGGGGAGGAGGGACAGAGGGAGAGGGAGAAGCAGACTCTCCGCTGAGTAGGGAACCCAATGCCAGACTCGATCCTAGGACCCTGGGATCATGACCTAAGGCGAAGGCAGACACTTAACCAACTGAGCCACCCAGGCGCCACACGGTATCTTTTACTTTTGACCATGTATCTTTCCAAGTCAGTTTGTATAAAGCTTCCCCATTGTTTTTTTTTTTTTTTTTTTAATATTTTACAAGTTATAATTTATATACCATAAAATTCACCTTTTAAAGTGTACAGTTCAGTGATTTAATTCCAGAACATTTTCATTATCCCCAAAAAGAAACCCCATACCCATGACATCTAGGTCTTTTACAGTCTTTTGCTAAAGGCAATAATGCTGCACTGGATATTCTCATACACATATATTTACACACATGGGCAAGAATATCTGTAGGACACGTACCTGGAAATATTTGCTAAGTAGAGTGATTTGTGCACCTAAAATTTTGGAAGGTACGGCTAAATTATCCTCCCCAGAGGTTATGGAGTATACACTCTTACTAGCAAGGTATAAAAGTTCCCATTTCCCCACTTACTGATCAGCATAGTCCTTCACCAAAGCTTTTTATCTTTGCCAGTCTGATAATAGTATCTCACTGAAATTTTAATTTATATTTCTCTTATTCAAAGTGAGGTTGATTATTTTTATATGTTTAAGGGCTACTTTCCTTTTTTAATGAATGATTGTTCATACCCTTCAGTTTTCTGCAGGATAACTTTTTCCTGGTTATAGGAGCTCTTAATGTATTAGGGAGAAAAGCCTTTTGTGATATAAATTGGGAGTATTTTTCTCACTTAGATTTTTTGGACTTTTTTTAGCCTTTGACTTTGTTTATAGTTTTTTTCCTTTACCATGCAGAATTTTAAGAATTTGTCATCAGATTTGTCAATCTTTTATACTTCTGTATCTTTTGACAGACTTTCCCTACTCCAGGATTATAAAAAACAGTATCTCGGGGCACCTGGCTGGCTCAGTTGGAGGAATATGTGACTATGCTATGTACTTATTATGCTAGTACTTTAAGGTTCTCCTCCCCTCACTGCCCCCATTTAACTGTTTGATTGATCTAGAATTTATTTTTGTGTAAGATGTAAAGTATGGAACCACTATATTTTCTCCATACAGCTAACATCTTTCCGCCACTGATTTAAAATGTCATTTTTATACTGTGTCCTCTTGATTAAAAGCTATTATTAAACGTGTTGACTTGGATAAGGACAATTTCATAGTAGCTTTAATTTCTTTTTTTTAAGAGTGGTAATCAGAGGGCACCAGGGTGACTCAATCGGTTAAGCTTCCGACTTTTGATCTCAGCTCAGGTCTTGATCTCAGAGTCGTGAGTTCAAGCCCCATGTTGGGCATGAAGCCTACTTAAAAAAAAAAAAAGTGGTAATCAGGTGTCTGGGGTAGTGTTTTCTGACCTCTTGGGATGCCTATCAGGATTCTGTAAGAACTACAGTCTCCCTCCCTCTGTGACAAATCCTACTGTCATTAAGCTGCTGTTACTGAGGGGAATGTGTCTCGCTCAAGTGTGCTGAGCCAAGAAGTAGTTTTTAACCACTGATCTAAAGGTTTTCCCTAAGAGGGAAAAAGAGGGGGACTCCTCTTTCCCACGTTATAAATTTCACTTGTGGCGAGAGGCCCACTTAGTGATTCCAGGGTTGTTACTTTCAGGAGAAAAGAGTCTCAGCAAGGAAAGGGAGAACCTTTCCAAAGAGAACTGAACTCTTCACTTTTGAAGTCATTAGTTTCTGATCCTCAGTTTGTCTTCCCACTTCCGAATTGTCAGTTTCTACACCTCTCCTTTAGTAAGTTGATTTTGGTGGACGGTGTGTCCTCCTGGGGAAAAGAACTGCTGGATTAGGCGGAGGATGACTAATGTTTTGGCCAGACGTAGAGCTGGAGACATAGGGATAGGAGTCATCTCTTTTAATTTGAAACTGTTTAAAGTCAGAAAAGAGGGGCGCCTGGGTGGCTCGGTCGGTTAAGCGTCTGCCTTCGGCTCAGGTCGTGATCCCGGGGTCCTGGGATCGAGCCCCACATTGGGCTCCCTGCTCAGCGGAAAGCCTGCTTCTCCCTCTCCCACTCCCCCTGCTTGTGTTCCTGCTCTCATTATCTCTCTCTGGGTCAAATAAATAAATAAAATCTTAAAAAAATAATAAATAAAGTCAGAAAAGAGTATGGCCCTTTAAAAAGTAGAATTCTTGGGGGCACCTGGGTGGCTCAGTTGGTTAAGCAGCTGCCTTCGGCTCAGGTCGTGATCCCAGGGTCCTGGGATCGAGCCCCACATCGGGCTCCCTGCTCGGCGGGGAGCCTGCTTCTCCCTCTCCCACTCCCCCTGCTTGTGTTCCCTCTCTCGCTGTGTCTCTCTCTGTCAAATAAATAAATAAAATCTTCAAAAAAATAAAAAATAAAAAAATAAAAAGTAGAATTCTCAGGGTACCCCTGACTATAAAGGTTCATGGAGTTCTACCCAAAGGGGGCTAGAGGCAGAGACCTATCTGGTAGGACAGATGCCACTGACTGGGACAGACATCCCCGGGGGGTGTTTTGTCAACTGTTTGAGCAGCCTGTTCGGTTTGATAGGGGAGGGTCCACAATGGCTGTTAATTTAATCCAGTATTATAAAATTGTTCTCTTATTTGTGCTACTCAAGGAGTGGCTTGTCAACTTCAAACTTTGGCAAATGTTCTCTGTGCTTGAAAGTCCCAGTGGCGGTGACACCTTGGTAGAGTGACTGGTGCTGACTTCTCTCTCAGTGTGTTAACCCTTGGGTGTCTTCTCTGCTAGAGGAGCTCATACAGGTGTAAAATAGTGAGGGAAGCTGGGATAGTTGTGAAAGGTGGTTTTGGTACAGGCTAGTTTTCACTTACATTTTTCTTAGTTTGTTCCAGAAACTGTTCAACACTCTAAAAAATAATTTACAAAGGATATAATGGAACTCCATTTCAAAAGTCACATCAGAGTAAAGAAATAATATCCAATTTATGGGCTTGGTAATATGTCAAAATTGCCCAATTTATTCCATGTGATTGTGATATCTGGGAGACAAGCTCATGGCACGATAATGAGCTGTGGGCTGATGCAATTCTGCCGTATTAAGTGTCAGGATTTAAGGGAAGCCCTTCCCACAGACTTCTATATATCTACTTAATTATAGTTTCCTCGCTTTCCCTTCCTGTGACATTTTCACTCCTCAGAAGTACTGTCGTGCTAGCATGTTCCTTTATGACTACACATCTGAGTCCTCAAAGCAGATTTCACCTGGTCTGCTGCCCCTTTCACAGTTTTAGCCTGGAAGTTACCCTTGGATCAGCTTTCCCCCTCTTCTTCTTCCTGTCCCACCAAGTCATCTCACCTCTCCACCAGAGTTCCACTTCTCATCACCCCAAGCCATTCAGCAACTGAACGAATTCACCCCCTCCCAAGGGAAGGTCTCACATCGGGGGATACTTACCCCTTCCAGACCCTTCCTGGAGGAAGCAAGTTTCCTTCCATGTGGCAGGAGCCAGTTTTATATTTGTTTGGCCCTGTGACTGATAGGATGGGGAGTTTGGGGGAACTGGAGAGGAGATGACAGTTTTAACCAAGAAAAAACATTGAGTAGAAATTATCCCCTCTGCCTTCTTCGGGCGTGTCCCTCTTCTGGGCATCTCTTCAGGATTTCATTCCTCCGTCCAACTGCCGTTCACAACTGCCCTTTCCAACTGCTCCAGAACTCTTGGCCCCGGCATTCCGTGATGTAAATTATTCCACGCATGGCTCGAAATGGGTGCGAAGCAGTGTTGCCAGGTGTCGGATCACTAGTGTAAGTTTACCGGATCTCGGGGGAGGGAGGAGAAAGGGGGAGAACTGCTTTTGGAACTTGTCCAGTTGTTATTGTTTCAGCCAGAGCACAGTAATCGAGCTGGCTGAGCTTGATGCTGTCGGTAGCTGGGGAGAGAGGGAGCTTGGGGCCCGGAGCTGGGGGAAGTTGGGGGTTGAGATTTTCTACTTTAAAGATTCTAGCGATGGGATATAGATTGTTTGGAATCAAACAGTTGGTGGTGCTGCTGCCTGGGGAGGAACCTGGGACCTCTGGGGCCAAGCCTGAAGCAGAACTGCTTGGGGCTATGGTGTCTCCTCTGTCTCAAAAAGTAGGGAGAACCGGCTTTTTCTGTTGTTGTAAAGAGAGCCAAAATATGGCAAGAAATCCACATTGCTCACCATGTTTGGAAACAGTCAGCCATAAAACGCAACAGTCCTCTGCATACATGAGATTTTTTTTTCTAAAACAAAAATATTATTTCTCCCCCTTTTTCATGATACATTTTGTGGAAGTGGTTGTTCCTGGTTTACAGTCCCTTTGGGGAATCTGTGTGGGAAGGGTTGCTGCCAGCTATCTTCGATTTATCTAGATTCCTTTTTGACTTGTAAGTTAAGGATTTGCATTCAATAAAAACAATTTAAATTGAATATTTAGTCTCTTGAATGACCACAAAATTTTAAAAATCCCATTAAAAACAAGCAGGTTAGAGAAAAAAACGTACATGAATTACACAGTTACTTATCTAGGAAAGTAAAGAGTGCATTTTTATGTTGTACTGATGCTTTATTCTGCATTAATGTGCTTGGCTAACCAGCACTTTCTTTATTCCTTTTCTTATAGTTGTCATGGATGATGATGATGACTCGTGTCTCCTTGATCTTATCGGGTAAGATGCTCATTCCAAAAGCAGGGTAAATCAAATGTGTGAGGTTTGCTGTACTAAAACAACCTAATTATCATATTAAAAACTGGGTGGATTTTTGGGGTGCCCAGCTGGCTCAGTTGGTGCAGCATGTAACTCCTGATCTCGGGGTCATGAGTTCAAGCCCCAGGTTGGGAGTAGAGATTATTTAAAATAAAATAAAAAAAAAAAAAACACAAACCGGGTGGGTTTTTAAAATGAAAGTCAACATAGAATATGGATTAGCAAATAAAGAGACAAAAATATTTGGATATGACAAGGTTCATAATTAGGCCATCCTTTATTAAATTTACCTTCTAACAAATCCCAGGAGGCAGAAATGAGTGATAATAGGAAATGGAACAACATCAAGAAATCAATAATAAAACAAACTATTAATAAAATTGTTTGAAAATAGGGCGAGAATGTTTCTCAGGCTAATACGTCATTTTCTTTTTACCCTAGTGAAAATGAATCCAAATATAGGTCATGTATTTATTTGCTGTTTTCCTTTCTTTGTTGCTGTTTTCCAGAGACCCACAAGCATTGAACTATTTTCTACATGGACCTAGTAATAAGTCTGTAAGTAATATTTAGAGCATCACAGATATAAATTTTGTCTCTTCTTTACAGTTAAAGTAATCACTTTATCAAATTTGTACCTTTGCAGAGCAATGATGACTTGACTAATGCAGGATATTCTGCAGCCAATTCAAATTCAATTTTCGCCAACTCCAGTGTGAGTATTGGAAACTGAATCCAGTGATAAAGTGTTTCTGTCTCATTGATGGCTTGTGAACCGAGGCTTTCCTTGCCTTTGGATGCTGATAAGAGTTATTACCTTGTCTCTTGTAATTGACACAGAGGGAGGATCTACTGAATGGTGTTGACATTGTCTCCTTTTAACTTCGTGGACTCAGATAAGCTAGATGAGATTTACTTTGCCATTTTCCCAAGCTTTCACCTGTCTTTCTAAAATGACTCCAAAATGTGATAACCTAAGAAAGTCGTATTAGAATGTTTTAGACCTTATCACAAAGCTTTAAAGAAATTGTTCTTAAGTGTAGTTACTTACTAAACATTTCCATCTTAAGCGAGAAAAAAAAAGGTAATAACTAAAACTTACTGAGCACTTAGTATGTTCTTGGCGCCAAGGGTTTAGCATGATTAACCACATTAATCCACACAGCAACTCCGTGAAGTAGGTTCTTTTATGATCAGTATTTTATACGTGAGGAAACTAAAGCGGAGAGGTTAGTACTTACTCAAAAGTCTACAGCCAGGAGTTGCAGAGCTAGGCTTCTCCCTCAGGTTGCCCATTCTGGATTCATATTCTCAAGCTCTAGGAGCATCTGGACAAGAAACCTGACCTCTGGGGGACAGGGAAGTCCTGTTTGTGGATGACATCCAGATAACTATGGTTAAGCCTGTGTTACTTTCATCTTTTCAAGTGCCTTCTTCTATCATGGATGGTAGCCAGAGTCAGACTGCCCAAGTTTGAATCCTCACTCTACCACTTACTAGACATGTAACCTTGGATCTATCACTACATCTCTGTAAGGTTCAGTTTCCTTATTTATGAAACCAGGAGAATAATAGAACTATTTCCTAGGTTGGTTAACATTAATTGACTAGTCCGTGGAAATTACTTGGTACAGTGCTCAATAAATGTTAACTTATCAGCAGGGCCTTTATTTTCTTCATCTATAACATGGAATAGTATTCGGAAGGTCCTTGGGGGGTGCACAGTTCTTTCAAGTATTTGAGTGTGTGTAAGTTAGGTCAGATCATACCATGCGAGACACCTCCACATGCTAGGGGTGGTTTTAAAGTCACAACACTGATCTCCAGTAAGGCTTGCGAACCAGGAGCATTTCTGAAATTCATTCTGAACAAGTAATAACTTCATGTGGTGCCATGAAGCCCATAAAGTAGATATTTAGCCCGCCCCTCAATGTTCATGATTTTTATTTACCAACCTTCCTCCTTCCATGTTAGTATTAATTCTAACTTTTCAGACTGTTTCATTCAGTATGTATTTATTGGGTACTTCTATTCCATCATGTCAGGTATAGTAGAAATTTTTTTTAGTAGAAATATATTTTTTTAAAGGATTTTATTTATTTGACAGAGAGAGACCCAGTGAGAGAGGGTACACAAGCAGGGGGAGTGGGAGAGGGAGAAGCAGGCTTCCCACTGAGCAGGGAGCCCGATGTGGGCTTGATCCCAGGACCCTGGGATCATGACCTGAGCCGAAGGCAGACGCTTAACGACTGAGTCACCCAGGCGCCCCCCCCCACCTTATTTTAAATAGCTGTTGATGCCATATCTTTTCTTTTCTAATCTTGACCTGTCCCCAAAAAACCTGCTGGACAGTGGAGTGTATCTTACTTATCATGTTCTGTTTTCTTCATATGCCTGTGTTGTCTCTAGTTGGAATGCCCATTCCTAAGGGCTCCTTGAGGACAGAAACTAACACACAAGTGGGTGCTTGATAAATAAACTGTTGATGGACCTTTACTTTTGAATAGGACACTGAAAGTAGCTTTGAAAGCGTCATAATAGGCTGATTCCTTCTAAGAAGTCAAACAACCGTTCACTCATTTTATGTGGGGAGCTTGTTTTTGTGTGAACCAGTCTTTTTTGGGGTGTTAGGGGTTAGAACGGCAGGGGGTCTGAGAAGCCTCAAAAGACAGGGCTAACTCTGGGCTACCTTCTGGACCTCTAACAGAACAATACCCAGAACGCCCAAAAGTCACTCGGACTACTGTCATACAGGGGACTAGACATGGCCATCTCCTGGATGCACACACACCCTGGGCTGAGTCTCGCTCAAGCCCTGGACTGGGGGCAATCCTGAAAAATCAAGTGTGTGCCAGTATATCAAAAAATGAAGCTAAACTCCAGGTAGTCATCAGTATGTTCCTGTTATTTATCTATTTTCTATAAAATAATTTACCAGAGCAATGAATAGGTACACTTAACAGAAACAGTGTTAGATATTACTAAGGAAATAGAATATCAAAATAAGCTGAGCACTTTGGAGAGTTGTACCTGAAAAGCAGACTGTTAGGCTTTATTCTCTTCAAAAGTGAGGTGCTTTTTATTATTATTATTTTTTTTTTTTTAAGAATCTCTTTCAAAGGTTCTATATGCCAGGTAACACACTGCTTATTCTTTTAGAATGCTGATCCTAAGTCATCCCTCAAAGCTGTAAGCAACCAGCTTGGAGAAGGGCCCAGTGATGGACTGCCACTCTCAAGTAGCCTTCAGTTTCTGGAGGATGAACTTGAGTCTTCTCCTCTTCCTGATCTCAGTGAGGACCAACCTTTCGACATTCTTCAGAAATCCTTGCAGGAGGCCAATATCACTGAACAGACACTGGCCGAAGAGGCATATTTGGATGCCAGTATAGGTTCAAGCCAACAGTTTGCACAAGCTCAGCTTCATCCTTCTTCATCAGCATCCTTTACTCAGGCTTCTAATGTTTCGAATTACTCAGGTCAGACACTGCAGCCTATAGGGGTGACTCACGTGCCTGTCGGAGCATCATTTGCAAGCAATACGGTGGGTGTGCAACATGGCTTTATGCAGCACGTGGGGATCAGTGTTCCCAGCCAGCATCTGTCTAACAGCAGTCAGATTAGCGGCTCTGGTCAAATACAGCTAATTGGGTCATTTGGTAATCAACCTTCCATGATGACTATTAATAACCTAGATGGATCTCAAATCATATTGAAGGGCAGTGGGCAGCAAGCCCCATCAAATGTGAGTGGAGGGCTCCTGGTCCATAGACAGACTCCTAATGGCAACTCATTGTTTGGGAACTCCAGTTCCAGTCCAGTAGCACAGCCTGTCACCGTTCCATTTAATAGCACAAACTTTCAGACATCTTTACCCGTGCATAACATCATCATACAGAGGGGTCTTGCACCAAATTCAAATAAAGTTCCAATTAATATCCAGCCAAAGCCTATCCAGATGGGCCAGCAGAATACATACAATGTGAACAATTTGGGAATACAGCAGCACCATGTTCAACAAGGGATCTCTTTTGCCTCTGCCAGCTCACCCCAGGGCTCCGTAGTTGGTCCGCACATGTCTGTGAACATTGTAAACCAACAGAACACAAGAAAACCGGTCACCTCACAGGCTGTGAGCAGTGCTGGCAGTAGTATCGTTATTCATTCTCCCATGGGCCAGCCTCACACACCCCAAAGTCAGTTCCTCATACCCACAAGCCTTTCCGTCAGTTCCAACTCGGTACACCATGTCCAGACCATAAATGGGCAACTGCTTCAGACTCAACCTTCTCAGCTTATCTCCGGCCAAGTGGCCTCAGAGCATGTCATGTTGAACAGAAACTCTTCCAACATGCTCAGGACCAACCAACCATATTCTGGGCAGATGCTGAACAACCAGAATGCTGCTGTCCAATTAGTGTCTGGGCAGACGTTTGCCGCCTCTGGAAGCCCAGTGATAGTCAATCATGCCTCTCCTCAGATCGTCAGTGGACAGATGCCCTTGCAGCAGGCATCGCCAACCGTATTACACCTGTCACCTGGGCAGAGCAGCGTCTCCCAAGGAAGACCTGGCTTCACCCCCATGCCCTCAGTGACCAGCATGTCAGGACCTAGTCGGTTCCCTATTGTCAGCTCCTCCAGCACTGCCCATCCTAGTCTTGGGTCTGTGGTTCAGTCGGGCGCAACAGGATCAAACTTTACAGGAGACCAGCTGACCCAGCCAAACAGGACTCCAGTACCGGTCAGCGTGTCTCATCGTCTTCCAGTTTCTTCTTCCAAATCTAGCAGCACCTTTAGTAACACACCTGGAGCAGGAACCCAGCAGCTCTTCTGTCAGGTATGTTTGCTTTATTACGTGAATGTTTGGAAGATTACAGAACAGAAAAATGGAATATGTATTTCACAGAATATCATTTTCATCCTAAGCTCCCAGTTTATTAACTTCCAGTTTTCAATTTATGATTGATTCCCTTTTTTCTTCCTAATTAAAATGTTTTATCCATCCCAGCATTGCGGCTTGGAGTGGGGACTCTAGAGTCAAACTCATGGATTTGACTCTAAGCTTTATGACATACAGCAAGTCTTACTTTAACTTACCTCTCTACACTTAATTTTCCTCATCATTTGAATGGACATATACTAGTACCATTCCATGAGGGTATTGGGAAGATTAAATGAGATAATCCACCTAAAGCACTTAGTGTAGTTAACCTCTAACAGCAAATGGCAAATACTCAATGAGAGCCCACTGATACATATACTTGATGAAATGTATTATGGGCATTTAAAATGAAAGCTTAGTGTAGATTATTTACTTACATCATGGAGTAATCCACTAGGTCATAACTATGGACTGGGTGAAGAAGTTGGGGCTGCTTCTTGAGTGCCAACGGGAAAGGCTCAGGGACTCAATGTGACTCATCAGTGGGTAACTGGCCTGCACCAGAGGGATGCATACCGAGGGAAGGATCCCAGATTACCTCGGGCAGTTGGTAAACCCACAGGATTATGTTTCTGAAAAGCATCTCAAATGTCATCAGCTTTGGTTCTCAACCCGCTGCCCCCATCTGATCCTTGAACTCTAGCTTCTGGTTCCTGCTCATCCTGAGCACAGCCCATAGTTGCAGCTCCACAGCCCCGCCTTCACCCCTGTGATTGACCCTCCTTTGTCCTCCTTTTCCACTGCCTTGCTCCTCCACATCTACAGGTATTCAAAAACCTCTCTGTGCCAGGTACCTCGATATTCCCTAAGGAAGCAAAGATTATTTATGATCAGGGATATTCAGTGTATTACTTTCAGTGTCAAAGGTGTATATGTGTCTTATGAGATCATGTCAGACTTCTAGAAAAGTTAAAGTTGCAAGGATAGAATAAGGAATTTCATATACCTTTCACCAAGATTCCCCAAATGTTCACGTTTTACTACCATTCGTTTTATCCTCTCTTCCTCCCCCCTGCACTCTCTCTCTTTCTCTCTCTCTCACACATATACACGCAAACACACACACAATTTTGAGAGTAAATTATGGGCATGGTGCCTCTTTACCCCTAAATACTTTGGACTTCAGTGTGTATTTTCTAAAAATGGAGACATTCTCCCATATAACCATAGGTTATACAATTATCAAAATCAAGAAATTAGCATGATGACAGTATTATCACCGAATCTACAGACCTTAGCCAGATTTAGTTGATTTTCCCAAGAATGTCCCTTACAGCAAAAGGGGAAAAAAATTATATTGTTTTGTGTTTATGATCCAGGATCACTGTCTGATTTTGTTGCCATGTCTTTAAATCTGGAACAGGTTATCCATCTTTCTTTGTCTTTTATGACCTTGAAATTTTTGAAAAGTACAAACCAATTATTTTGTAGAATGTCCCTCAATTCAGGTTTCTCTGCTGTTTCCTCATGATTAGATTCAGGTCATACATTTTTGGTAGCATTGCCACAGAAGTGATATGTCCTCACAGTATGGACTTGTCCCATTACTGGTGGTGTAAACTTTGAACACTTGCTTAAGATAGTATCTGATGCTTCTTTTTTTTTTTTTTAAGATTTTATTTATTTATTTGACAGAGAGAGACATAGTGAGAGCAGGAACACAAGCAGGGGGAGTGGGAGAGGGAGAAGCAGGCTTCCCGCTGAGCAGGGAGCCCGATTTGGGGCTCGATCCCAGGACCCTGGGATCACGACCTGAGCTGAAGACAGACGCTTAACGACTGAGCCACCCAGGCGCCCAGTATCTGATGCTTCTTAACTTTCTTCTAAGGGGATACTTTGACACTTGTGTAGTTATCCAGTTGCTCATCAAACTTGTACAGATTACCACTTAAGCTTCCACTGATAATTCCTGACCAAATCCGTTCTTACAGAATCAGCTATTACTATGATGGCCACCAAATAGAGCTTGTCTAATTCCATCATTTATTCTACATTAATTATTGGCATTTAACTCTAAGAAAGCTTTTCCTGTTCCCCTTTTACTTATGTCTTTGTTTATATGAGTATGGATTCACAATTTTTTTTTTAAAGATTTTATTTGCTTATTTGAGAGAGAGAGAACACAAGCAGGGTGAAGGGGCAGAGGGAGAAGGAGAAGCAGACTCCCCACTGAGCAGGGAGCCCGACAGGGGCCTCGATCCCAGGACTCTGAGATCATGACCTGAGCCAAAGGCAGACACTTAACCAACTGAGTCATCCAGGCACCCCTCATAAATTCTTATTTTATTCAGTGAGTTAAAAATTGTAGTCACTTCTCTGATGCTCGTTACTTTGATGGCCATTTGGCACCCCTCCATATTGGCTGACTGGTCCTTCTGACACGTTTCCATCATGCCTTGAGCACTTTCTTTAATTTCTGGCAAAACAAGATGTTCCATGTTCATTTTTTACCTTCTCTCCTCTGCCCGGAAGCAACCATTTCCTTAAGGAGCCTTATTCCTTCTGGCAGAGAACAGTATTTAGAAACCAAGATCTGAGCACTACATATTCATTGCGACTGACTTGGATTTCTTTATACACACCCAACATCTGTAGCTATTTATAGATCAATCTACAGATCAATTTATAGATCAATCAGTGTATTAAAAACAGTGAGTTCAGGGGCACCTGGGTGGCTCAGTAGGTTAAGTATCCCACTCTTGATTTGGGCTCAGGTCATGATCTCAGGGTCATGAGATGGAGCCCCGTGTCAGGATCTGCGCTGGGCATGGAACTTGCTTAAGATTCTCTTTCCCTCTCCCTCTGCCCCTCCCCCCTCCTATCAGTCAATCAATCAATAAAAACAGTGAGTTCATATTGATACTTTGGATTCTAATCCAGGACCACTGGGTTCATTATTCAAGTCTCCTTCTTTTCCATTTCCAAACATCTTCCATGTTTCCTCTTTTCTAACAGTGAGAAAGGCAGCTCCACAATATATTTACTAAATTGCTCAATCCTAGAATACACAGAAAATAGTTTCAGAATTGCTAATCCATACTACCATGAAAAACAAACCTACTAATGAGACGTCAGCATCAGTTTACAGTTCTGTCTTTAGCCTAAAGGTATAGAGTCACAGTATTGTGTTCATGGGGCACCTGGGTGGCTCAGTCGGTTAAACATCCGACTCTTGGTTTCAGGTTCAGGTCGTGATTTCAGAGTCATGAGATTGAGCCCCACATTAGGCTCTGTGTTCAGCAGGGAGTCTGCTAAAGAGTCTCACTCCCTCTCCCTCTGCCCCTCCCCCCAGCACATGCATGCTCTCTCTCTCTAAAATAAATCTTTTTTTTTTTAAGATTTTATTTATTTGTCAGAAAGAGAGAGAGAGCACAAGCAGGGGGTGTGGCAGACAGAGGGAGTAGCAGGCTCTCCGCTGAGTAAGGAGACCAATGAGGGACTCGATCCCAGGACCCTGGGACCATGATCTGAGCCGAAGCAGGCACTTAACCTGCTGAGACACGCAGGCATCCCTAAATAAATAAAGATTTCAAAATACTGCATTTGACAGTTACTTGGCTTAGTACTTTCCCCACTCCCCTGGTGTAGTTATGCTATTCATTTGAAATATAGTTCTGCTTATTTGTTTCTGTTCGTATTTCATTGTAGGAGTCTTTCCCCACTATCCTTGTTGATTTTACCTATTTAATTTCTTTTGAAAGTGTGACCCATTAGCATGGTTCCAAAAGTCAGGGCTCTGCAGAAAGTGTACCTGGAGCACCTCACTCCACCCTTCTCCCACCCTTCCATCCTTCCCCGCCAGTTCTCAGCCGCGTCTGTCATCACCGATCTCCTTCATCTCTAGTTGACTTATCCTATGTTTATTTTCATACAAATGAGTAGATACATGTATGTTTTCTTATTTCCCTTCCTTTCTTGTTCAAAGTATAGGGTGCTGTAGATACTCTTCTACATTTCAGTTGCTAAAAAGTTTTTTAAATACCCAAATGTCTAGGGACGCCTGGGTGGCTCAGTCACTTAAGTGTCTGCCTTTAGCTCAGGTCATGATCCTGGGGTCCTGGGATCGAGCCCCACATCAGGCTCCCTGCTCAGGGGGAGCCTGCCTCTCCCTCTGCCTCCCGCTCCCTCTGCTTGTGCTCTCTCTCTCTCTGACAAATAAATAAATAAAATCTTCAAAAAAAATTTTTCTAAACATAATAAAAATTAAAAAATAAAAGCCCAAGTGTCTAATAATAGAATCATGGGCTGTAATGAATGCTATGCAGCTACTTAAAATGTTTTCAAAGGCTATCTTAGTGGAGTGTGTGACCCTTGATCTTGGGGTTGTAGGTTCGAGCCCCATGTTGGGCATAGAAATTACTTTAAAAAAATAAAATCTTGGGGTACCTGGGTGGCACAGTTGGTTAAGCATCCAACTCAGTCTCAGCTCAGATCTTAATCTCAGGGTCATGAGTTCAAGCCTCCTGTTGGGCTCCACACTGGGCATGGAGCCTACTTATAAAAATAAATAAAACAAAATCTTTGTATATAAAAGTAAGTAAATAAAGAAAATAAAATGTTTAAAAAAAAATAACTTGGTCAGTTGAGCCTCCAGCTCTTGGTTTTGGCTCAGGTAGTGATCTTAAGGTCATGAGATTGAGCCCTGCGTTGGGCTCTGTACTCAGCATGGAGTCTGCTTGAGATTCTCTCTCCCTCTCCCTGCCCCTCCCACTTGTACTCTCTCTCTAAAATAAATAAATAAATTGTAAAAAAAAATAACTTAAAAAAATTTTTTAAAAAACTTAAAGATTTGGGGAAAGGCTTACAAAATAATTTTAAGTGTACATTTAAATTTGAAATATTTAAAATGTGCTTTTAAATGTATGATAAAGATGGGCACCTGACTGGTTCAGTCA